TGCTTGGGCTGGCATGGCACCTTTGTCTACTTCTATAGTATAGAATTCTATACCAACAAGGCATCCCTGTCTACTACATTACCAACATACACTACCCCTCGCAATTTGTTTATTTCTGCCGCTCTGGGGAGATTTCCCGGATATTACAACTGAATAATTATCTTGTGGTCTTGGGTGAGGGAGGCAGCCGGATAGGTCCCAACTGTTTTTTTACACACTTCTTTACATTAACGATTTTGGAATATTCTCATGTTAGTTATCTGTCGCACTTGCTCTACAGAAACCTCGGTCTCAAAGTTGCAGATATAAACAGGAGACACCCAAAACTACTTAACATAGGCATGTAAGTATTGGGTGATTGCAGTATGTGTCCAGCCATGGCTCCGTGCACAGGGCTGAAACTTTTCTGTGTATTCTTTCAAGAGTGTTAAACCCTCTTGCACACAGCTAGAACACTTTCAGGTCTGACATCATCGATCTGTTTCTCAGTGATTACTAAAATGAGAACTTTAAGTAGTGAAACGGATTTATTAAACGATGGGGAATAGAGAATATTTAAAGGTATCTTTTGTTTAGAGGATGATTACTTTCAATGCAAGTAGAGTAGAAAGGGAATTATTCTCACTGTGAGAAGAGAAAATGAGATTTAAAGGACAGAAGAGGGAATAATTTCACTGCGAGAGGAAGGAAATAAATGGGGAAAGTTTACCTTTAGCAAACATGGCGTTTTCAGTGGGATAAAATTTTGGTATTAAGAGGGTGGTAAAAATAAGGTCTTCTCAGGGAGGACAAAACCACGCTGTTTGGGAAATAGAGTAATGCGACGTTGTAAGGGGAAAAAGTCGGAGTGTTTGAGGGTTTTAAGGGATAAAATCAGGGTGGGCTGAGGGCAAAATAAACAGTGTCCTCAGGAGGAGGGGGAAAAATCAGGGTATACTGAGAACAGCACCTCGGGAGTATGGTCTTTATGGAATACCAAGGGCTGTCACTGTAAGGAACACCTATCAGAGACTAACGAAGAGCGCCCTTGCAAAATTTTGACTCCTGCGTGTTGACAAGAACTAGAAGTTTACTCAAGCAACAATTACTATAAATGAGTTCATTAAAAGGACAACTCTTCGCTAGTCTTTCTCGTTCTGTTAACAGATCAACTGAACATGAGCCAAAATTTTGGCCACTTAGCTAACAACTAAACTTTTACGTGAGTGCAATGCTCTTTCCATCTGAATATGACTAATAATTATTTAAGTTCTTTAAAAGGCAACGTAACGCAACGATACAAATTCCCTTTAACACCAGATTCGATGAAATACACATTGAGGTTAACACATCATAAACCCAAGAATCAGAAGGCAGAACTATTTGCACCTCGTAACTTCATATTCATATAGTCTCAGGAAGCATTCTGGGGGTGTACACATACCACTCGCGGTGGAGAAAGGAATATAAAAATAAACGAAAGATTAACAAGAATGCCGTGCGAAGGGTACAACTTGCACAGGTTGACAGTGCCGTTGCATAGCGACTTTTCTACTGAACTACGAGTGTGGTAGGAGGAAGGTTGCAAACTACCAACAAGCTACATACTTCATTCCTTCATTCATCGCTTAACAAAGACCATGGGCCACTTACATCGATGGGGAAACAGGCGATACCAATTTGGATTTATTTATACACAGGGCGATGAAGAGAAGAGAGTGGAAAAAATCATTAGATCATATACAGCTAAAATATAAATTGCATCTAAGAGTGATGAGGGACATATAATCTAGATCATAATAGCTAGAATACTTGAGCTCCGGTAGCCAAATGTCAACATTAGTGACTAGATTGGACTGTGCCTGGTTTGACGAGCTAACAGGGTGAACTAGAAGCAGGGGGTGTTACAGAAGACTGTTGCAGTTGGGGGCAAGTATGTCTAGAGGGAATATATCTAGATTCTAAAGGCTTGGCTTAAAAATTGAATTCAAATAAAAACTACATTATAAATAGGGTGACACCTACGAAGAAAAGGCATTACAGTGCATAATGGAAAGGGGAATACAAATGAAATTGAAAAATCATTAACACGTTTTAAAATTCTTAAGAATTAAAATTTTGTAAAAATGAATGATTTGAGATAAATGGATGCATCATTTGGATAGTATAAGAGTTACTATTAGGAGACATATCGCTCGTTATTGACTTCCTAGAGCCAATACAGAGAACAGAAAATAAAAACACAGTAGTTGACAGAGGTCAGGTGCGTCAAGTGTAGAAAGGGACAGGTGTTTATATTTCTGGGCATTTATTCAAAGAAACGTTTCTCTACTAGTGGCATTAGCACTAATGAAGGAATAATGGCGAAACGTGGCCTTTTTAATAAATGTCCTGAACTGTACACTAGTGCCCTTTCGCACAGTTTCAGTATCACCAGACCATTGACAATCAAGTGGGGCCAGGTGCAACGGGTACAGGTGCCACGGCTCGTGCCACGGCTCGTGCAACGCGTAGTGAGGCGGATAAGTCCATCGTGAACACCTGATAGTCTACGACTTGTTACAACTGTCCCTTGTTTTGTACTCTTCTCTGTATTAGATTGTTAAAAAACTAGCAAGTGGAACGTCTACTAATCACTGCTGTAATGGCTGCGTGTGTCTTTATTCCACATCATAAAGAAAACTGAGATTAATGGGAAACTATAAGCTTCTATTGTCATTGCTACATAGAACATATGATGCATCCTTATCAGTATAATATAGTAAATGTTTTGAAATATATATATATATTTATATATATATAATATATATATATATATATATATATATATATATATATATATATTATATAAGCTATGGCAAATAGGTGGCAGGCAACGTTGACACTGAAAAGATAATTAAAACATGACTCAGCGTAGAACATTACCTAATGCTGATCTAATTATATCCGACAAGTAACATGATAATTAACTAATGCATTGAAGCCTTTTATGTATGCTTATTAACAACGTTTATCTTCGTATTGATTATAATGTTTTATATAGTATTTTTCTGAAAGTCTGCTTTTGTTTAATACTTTTGTGGATATATTAGGAAAATGTAAGCAAATTAGATTTTGTTAATCATTAATGTGAAGACTCGTTAATACAAGAATGACATACAAGAGACAGAAACAAAAAAAAAAAAAATAAGTATTAGGTATAGCAGTACTAAACTAATTTAACTCTGAATATTAAACATTATTAGCAGAACTGCAATAAAACATGTCAAAAACCGAATTTGTAAAAAAGAAAAAAAAGTTTTATTGAATATTAAACATTAGGAAAGTAAATTGAGAGGAAAACTAAATCAATATTTTTTTCAGTGTCCTAATTTGTCCAAAATATCAAATTGTTTTCTTTACTAACCTATTTAATTATTAATACAAAAAAATACATTATTTTCATTAAGGTAATTATTTAACGACAGCAATATCAGTAAATAACTTTTTGAAAAGGAATCCCTATTAAATAAAAAAAATGCATTGAAAAGACCTTACAAGTGTTTCCTCTGATTTACAGTATTCACTTTGTATTTAAAAGTATCCCCTCTATATATGAAAGTTTACAAGTGTTCCCTGCATGTTTACAAGTGTTCCCTGCATGTTTACAAGTGTTCCCTGCATGCTTACAAGTGTTCCCTGCATGTTTACAAGTGTTCCCTGCATGTTTACAAAGTGTTCCCTGCATGTTTACAAGTGTTCCCTGCATGCTTACAAGTGTTCCCTGCATGTTTACAAGTGTTCCCTGTCATGTTTACAAGTGTTCCCTGCATGTTTACAAGTGTTCCCTGCATGTTTACAAGTGTTCCCTGCATGTTTACAAGTGTTCCCTGCATGTTTACAAGTGTTCCCTGCATGTTTACAAGTGTTCCCTGCATGTTTACAAGTGTTCCCTGCATGTTTACAAGTGTTCCCTGCATGTTTACAAGTGTTCCCTGCATGTTTACAAGTGTTCCCTGCATGTTTACAAGTGTTCCCTGCATGTTTACAAGTGTTCCCTGCATGTTTACAAGTGTTCCCTGCATGCTTACAAGTGTTCCCTGTATGCTTACAAGTGTTCCCTCCATATTTACAAGTGTTCCTGCATGTTTACAAGTGTTCCCTGTATGTTTACAAGTGTTCCTGCATGTTTACAAGTGTTCCCTGCATGTTTACAAGTGTTCCTGCATGTTTACAAGTGTTCCTGCATGTTTACAAGTGTTCCTGCATGTTTACAAGTGTTCCTGCATGTTTACAAGTGTTCCCTGCTTGTTTACAAGTGTTCCCTGTATGTTTACAAGTGTCCCCTGTATGTTTACTAGTGTTCCCTGCATGTTTGCAAGTGTTCCCTGCATTTTTACAAGTGTTCCCTGCATTTTTACAAGTGTTCCCTGCAGGTTTACAAGTGTTCCCTGTGTATTTACAAGTGTTTCCTTTATTTTTACAAGTGTTCCCTGTATGTTTACAAGTGTTCCCTGCATGTTTACAAATGTTCTCTGCATAGTCCCATTGTTTTCTGCATATTTACGTGTTCTCTGCATATTTCCAACGTATCCTGGATATTTACAAATGTTCCGAATTGTATTTAAAAATCTCTATTTATAAGTGTTCCCCGCATGTTTACCAATGTTATCTGAATGTTTCTAATGTTCTCTCCCTGTTGGCAAATATACCTTTCGTGTTTAAAATGTTCTCCACCTGTTTACAAACATTCCCTGCGTGTTTCCCCATACAATAAAGGACAATTAACTGGTAAATATATAATATATGGGACAATAAGTTGTACCGTGTGTGGCATGTCTAATCTTAGTCTTATCTCCCTTAATACTCCCACTGCTCTAGTTGTGCTGGCGTCCTTCCCCATCCCATGATATGGGAGTCCCTCAGGTCGCTTCTCGGGTGTCCACCCACCTCCACTAGACACAGGCTCGCCGATGTCCAGATAAAACAGCACGTCCTTCTCGTAGCTGTCCTCCTCTATGATCTTGATCGATACTGTTTTCCTGAGGGAGATACAGCAGAGTATTACTTAAAGCTTCTACAGTACCGCAAATGGGACGCACTTCACATTATCATTCAGGATATAGTATGAGAGATGAAGCTCAGAAGACAAAGATCCATGACCGTAACTGCTTACAATTAACCCCAGTCCCTGGATCCATTTTAAGTCTATGTAATCTTTTGACTATCGTTCACAGGATGGGTATGGGGGTGACTACCGCCTAAAGGATAAGCTTGGGGTCATTAGCGACCACAGGATAGATATGCGGTGATTACCGACCACAGGATGGGTATAGAATTAGGGTGCTTGATGCTGTCAAATAACTCAATAACTAGAAATGAAGAAATTAACAACAGTTTATGTATTAAATGTGATTTGGATGAGTATTGCTTAAGAGTAAATATATGCACATACGAGAATAAATGATGCAATATTACGATAGAAAATGTTATCACTAAGACAATACATCTGACTGGTCACTTTAAATCATCTTGAGGAGAATTCTAAGTCACTGGTACCACTGGAATATTTCTCTCTCCATCTCCAAGCAACTGGAGATAATATCTCCCACAATTTTGGCTCTTACTCTGAATCGAAGTAAGCTCTCATAATTCTACTGATATCATTGCAATACATGAGAATTTATGCAAGACAATCATTGTAAAAAAATAGTAAAATTCCAATGCTTTCGCGATTTCTAATTTTAAAGAGAACCTCGATAATGTCAGAAATCATTATTTTATTTCACAAAGATTGTTATATTATGACATCATCTGTTTACTATGATCTTATTGCATGTAAATTCATGGGTCGAGCAATGAAGAGACATTCAGTGACGTGTAAATAAGAGGCGTCTCATTTACATTCTGAATTGATTAAGTTCTCGGTGTAGTCACAGACTACAGTGGTGTGGCAGACACTGCTCGTTACAGACTACAGTGGTGTGGCAGACACTGCTCGTTACAGACTACAGTGGTGTGGCAGACACTGCTCGTTACAGACTACAGTGGTGTGGTAGACACTGCTCGTTACAGACTACAGTGGTGTGGCAGACACTGTTCGTTACAGACTACAGTGGTGTGGCAGACACTGCTCGTTACAGACTACAGTGGTGTGGCAGACACTGCTCGTTTACAGACTACACTGGTGTGGCAGACACTACTTTGTTACAGACTACATGGTGTGGCAGACACTGCTCGTTACAGACTACACTGGTGTGGCAGACACTATTCGTTACAGACTACAGTGGTGTGGCAGACACTGCTCGTTACAGACTACACTGGTGTGGCAGACACTGCTCGTTACAGACTACACTGGTGTGGCAGACACTGCTCGTTACAGACTACAGTGGTGTGGCAGACACTGCTCGTTACAGACTACAGTGGTGTGGCAGGCACTGCTCGTTACAGACTACAGTGGTGTGGCAGACACTGCTCGTTACAGACTACAGTGGTGTGGCAGACCCTGCTCGTTTACAGACTACAGTTGGTGGGCAGACACTGCTCGTTATAGACTACAGTGGTGTGGACACATTGCTCGTTACAGACTAGTGGTGTGGCAGACACTGCTCGTTTACAGACTACAGTGGTGTGGCAACATTGCTCGTACAGACTACAGTGGTGTGGCAGACATGCTCGTCACAGACTACAGTGGTGTGGCAGACACTGCTCGTTGACATGACTAATAGGCTTGGCAAAAAATGCTTTTGTTACATAAGAGGTGTGGCAGACTATGCCTTACGATTTGTTGTGCGAATGCACGAGAAATGGTGTGCACATCCCCGTTGACAACCTTATTTTTCCTCGTACACTACAGTGTTTGGCGACACTGCTCTTGTCGTTGCTTGGACACACTTCTCGTTTTTCTTTGCTTTTTCTTGACACTGTCTTAGCTTTGTTCTTGGGACACTGCTCTTAGCTCGTCGTGTGGCAACTTTTGTTGTTACTTGACACAGTTGTTTGCTTGACACTGCTGTTGATACTGGTTGGAACACTTTTCTTTACCCGACACGAGTGGTGTGGCCTGACACTGCTCGTTTCCTTGACACTGTGGTGTTTGGCCTTGACACTGTTTGTTACCAAACACATGTGTTGGGACTGCTCGTTTACACTACTTTGCACCTGCTGACAACTGTTTTGCAGACCTGACTGTTACAACTTACATGGTCTTGGCCATGCTGTTTTGCTTATGCTTGGTACGCTTGTCTTTGTTTACAGACTATTGTGGCAGACACTGCTCTTAAGACTACGTGTGTGACATGTCTTAAATAATGGGGTGGGAACTGCTCGTTACAATACAGTGGTTGCAGACACTGCTCGTTACAGACAACAGTGGTTGTGGCAGACACTGCTCGTTACAGACTACAGTGGTGTGGCAGACACTGCTCGTTACAGACTACAGTGGTGTGGCAGACACTGCTCGTTCAGACTACAGTGGGTGGCAGACACTGCTCGTTACAGACTACAGTGGTGTGGCAGACACTGCTCGTTACAGACTACAGTGGTGTGGCAGACACTGCTCGTTACAGACTACAGTGGTGTGGCAGACACTGCTCGTTACAGACTACAGTGGTGTGGCAAGACACTGCCGTTACAGACTACAGGGTGTGGCAGACACTGCTCGTTACAGATACAGTGGTGTGGCAGACACTGCTCGTTACAGACTACAGTGGTGTGGCAGACACTGCTCGTTACAGACTACAGTGGTGTGGCAGACACTGCTCCGTTACACGACTACAGTGGTGTGGCAGACACTGCTCGTTACAGACTACAGTGGGTGTGGCAGACACATGCTCGTTACAGACTACAGTGGTGTGGCAGACACTGCTCGTTACAGACTACAGTGTGTGGCAGACACTGCTCGTTACAGACTACAGTGGTGTGGCAGACACTGCTCGTTACAGACTACAGTGGTGTGGCAGACACTGCCGTTACAGACTACAGTGGTGTGGCAGACACTGCTCGTTACAGACTACAGTGGTGTGGCAGACACTGCTCGTTACAGACTACAGTGGTGTGCAGACACTGCTCGTTACAGACTACAGTGGTGTGGCAGACACTGCTCCGTTACAGACTACAGTGGTGTGGCAGACACTGCTCGTTACAGACTACAGTGGTGTGGCAGACACTGCTCGTTACAGGACTACAGTGGTGTGGTAGACACTTGCCGTTACAGACTACAGTGGTGTGGCAGACACTGCTCGTTACAGACTACAGTGGTGGCAACACTGCTAGTTACAGATTACAGTGGTGTGGCAGACACTGCTCGTTACAGACTACAGTGGTGTGGCAGACACTGCTCGTTACAGATTACAGTGGTGTGGCAGACACTGCTCGTCACAGATTACAGTGATGTGGCAGACACTGCTCGTCACAGATTACAGTGGTGTGGCAGACACTGCTCGTCACAGATTACAGTGGTGTGGCAGACACTGCTCGTTACAGACTACATTGGAATGGCAGACACTGCTCGTTACAGACTGTATTTGTGTGGCAGACATTGCTCATCACAGATTACAGTGGTGTGGCAGACACTGCTCGTTACAGACTACATTGGAATGGCAGACACTGCTCGTTACAGACTACACTGGTGTGGCAGGCATTGCTCGTTACAGACTACACTGGTGTGGCAGACACTGCTCGTTACAGACTATAGTGGTGTGGCAGACACTGCTCGTCACAGACTATAGTGGTGTGGCAGACACTGCTCGTTACAGACTACACTGGTGTGGCAGACACTGCTCGTTACAGACTTACACTGGTGTGGCAAGACACTGCTCGTTACAGACTACACTGGTGTGGCAGACACTGCTCGTTACAGACTACACTGGTGTGGCAGACACTGCTCGTTACAGACTACACTGGTGTGGCAGACACTGCTCGTTACAGACTACACTGGTGTGGCAGACACTGCTCGTTACAGACTACACATGGTGTGGCAGACACTGCTCGTTACAGACTACATGGTGTGGCAGACACGCTCGTTACAGACTACACTGGTGTGGCAGACACGCTCCGTTACAGACTACACTGGTGTGGCAGGACACTGCTTCGTTTACAGACTACACTGTGTGGCAGGACACTGCTCGTTACAGACTACACTGGTGTGGCAGACACTGCTGTACAGACTACACTGGTGTGGCAGACACTGCTCGTTACAGACTACACTGGTGTGGCAGACACTGCTCGTTACAGACTACACTGGTGTGGCAGACATTGCTCGTCACAGACTACAGTGGTGTGGCAGACACTGCTCGTTACAGACTACACTGGTGTGGCAGACACTGCTCGTTACAGACTACACTGGTGTGGCAGACACTGCTCGTTACAGACTACACTGGTGTGGCAGACACTGCTCGTTACAGACTACACTGGTGTGGCAGACATTGCTCGTCACAGACTACAGTGGTGTGGCAGACACTGCTCGTTGATATTAGGGCAATAAACTTGTCAAGAAAATTTATTTTTTTCATAAGAATTTCTTTCTATACTTTGTCTTGGTGCGAGCACGAGAAATGTTGCATCTTCCTTGACACTATTTTTTTTTTCGACACTGTCTTGTCTTCCTTGACACACTTTTGTTTTCCTTTTGCTTTTTCTTGACACTTGTTTTGCTTTTTCTTGACACTGTCTTGCCTTCCTTGGCACTTTTGTTTTCCTTGACACTGTTTTGTTTTCCTTGACACTGTTTTGTTTTCCTTGACACTGTTTTGTTTTCCACAACACTATTTTGTTTTCTTTGACACTATTTTCTTTTCCTTGACACTGTTTTCTTTTTCTTGACACTAACTTTTCTTCCTTGACATTTTTTTTGTCTTTGCCATTGTTTTGCTTTCCTTGGCACTGCTTTGTCTTCGTTAATATTTTGTCTTTCTTGACATGTCCTCTCTTCCTTGATACTGTCTTGTTACTGTCTTAATACAATGTTTTGTTGACGTCTTAGCAATGTGCATGCGTACTCGCGTGCACGCTTTCTCTCTCTCTCTCTCTCTCTCTCTTCTCT